GGCTGGGATAGGCTCCAGCACCCCCCGCGACCCTAGTGAGGATCAAGCGGTTCGGAAAATGAATGAATGAATCGCGCCACACTTTCTCCACCCAGAAGACACACAGGTTTTCCAGCTACGTCCATGTACATGTTCTTCGACTCTCACCTTGTTTGAAACCCGCGGTTCTCAGTGTCCACCTTCCGTTTTGCCATTTTTGATGGGTATCTGAAAGCTAATGTCACTGTTATGGGAACGACTGCGAGACGAATAAATATTTAAATAAAGCGGCCGACTGCTTGGCGCGTCACCGTTGCATTGTGGGAAATGTAGTTTTGGTGCGTGTAAAAGATCTGCGGGCTCTCGGCTTGCTGCGGTGCGCGGGCCGGTTCTAATAATAAATCAATATCATCCCAGGGGCCACTGAAAACATTGTCGCGGGCCGGATTTGGCCCGCGGGCCGGCACTTTGACATACGTGCTTTAGGTGGTCATCCGTCACATGGCTGAAGGTGAATTTAGGTTTAAATTCCATATTTTTGTTCAAAATGGCAAAACTCAAAACAAATAGAAAAAAAAAGTCTGCATTAAAACATTTTATAAAGGTGGTTGGTTGTGTTCTCATTTTTTTTTTTTTCTTGCTGAGATTGCTCACTCCTGTTCAAAATGCGATGACGTTGGACGCCCTCAGCTAAAATCGAAAGAGTCTGCATTCAAGCACTTCCTGATGCTCGATGACCGGCCTCATTTTCTTTATGACAGGTTTCATTTGTTTATGATAGATTTAAATAGAAAGAGCCCACATTGAAGCATTTTGTAAATGCTGAATGGATTCCGGGCGGCCCGGTAGTCCAGTGGTTAGCATGTCGACTTCACAGTGCAGAGGTACCGGGTTCAATTCCAGCTCCGGCCTCCCTGTGTGGAGTTTGCATGTTCTCCCCGGGCCTGCGTGGGTTTTCTCCGGGTACTCCGGTTTCCTCCCACATTCCAAAAACATGCATGGTAGGCTGATTGAACACTCTAAGTTGCCCCTAGGTGTGAATGTGAGCGTGGATGGTTGTTCGTCTCTGTGTACCCTGCGATTGGCTGGCAACCGATTCAGGGTGTCCCCCGCCTACTGCCCGAAGACAGCTGGGATAGGCTCCAGCACCCCCCGCGACCCTAGTGAGGATCAAGCGGTTCGGAAGATGAATGAATGAATGAATGAATGGATTCCTTCTTGTTTTTTTATTTTTTATTTTATTTAATGACAGGTGGTGTGAACTCACGTGGTTAAAGGTGAATTCTGTTTGAAATTGGTCATTCTGGTTTAAAAATAGTATCAAGAGATACCGTAACTGAAATCGAAAGTCAACATTAAAGTACTCCATGATGCTGAATGGTTTGGTCTCTCTCGTTTTTGTTTTTTTTTTACAACATGGTTGAGAGTGAATTTGAAACTGCTCATTCCTGTGGAAAAAGGTGTAACCTCACAGACAAAAAAGTCTGCTTCAAAGCATTTTATGACGCTTGAGATTTTCTGGATGTTTTTGTTTTTTTAAATGGCAGGTGGTTACACATATCTTTCCATTGTAGTTATTCCACTAATTGAGCATCAAGCCAAATAAGGCAAGTCCACGTGTACAGCTGTGTTTGGAAAGCAAACCCATTCATCGCAAAACAAGGTTGATGTGTTTCTTTCGAACCGATAATCTATGAGCATCCAATGCCCCAATGAGACAACCACCGTGGCTGCCTCCCGCAATTAAGGCATCAACAGCTGGGGAGACCTTTTGGACGCTCCTGAGTATTGTTGCTACAGCTGACAAATATTGGAAGTTAATGAAGTGAGGCTGTCAGTGAGAAGGGGAACATACGGAGGGATGCAATGTGGATTTTGAGCCAGCAAAAATAGCAGATGAAGAGTTGACGTGATGGGAAGTCTCTCGTTCAAATTGGCTTGGCGGTTTATTCTAAGGACGATAGGAACACCACTCGAACTAACACCACTCGCTTTGTTGCTGTAAAAAGGACGTGTCAAATGAGCCCTGTTTTGTCTTCATGGCCAGAGACTCATTTCCCAAGCACACACAGTAATTTGCACTGTTAACCACTCTTGAACCAGAAGTTCCACAGTTTACATCAGTCATATAACTAATCCAATTTTTACAATATTTGCTGAATACATGCAGTGTTGTGAAACAAATGAGCGACACAATTAAACCTCCACTGACACTAATTAAATCTGTAACTGTGTCCAAATTTAGAAGTGAGTGACTGCAGCCATCAACTTTTAAGACCGTGGATTGGTGGGATTTACAGGCTAGCCGACATTTCACCACACTGGGAGCTATATTCTCTCTCTATTTATTGTTGGTCATTTAAAAGAGGGGAAAAAAAGCAATAGACCTGAACAAATGTAAGCGGAGCTGGCCTCGTTAGCTTAGCTGAATAAGTAGCAACGTTTCAAAGTTATATGTTAAAATCATTCAAACGAAGCAAAAAAGCAAGAGACCGAAACAAACGTAATTCGGAGCAAGCCAAAACTTTGCTAGCTAAGCACTTAAAATCGCTAGTATTACAACCTTTCGGGAAAAAAAAAACCCTAAACAGATATAACTGGGAGCTAGCCTTGTTAGCTTAGCTGGTTAAGTACGGTAGCAACTTTTAAAAGTGCTGTTATAGCAACCATTCAAAAGAACAAAAGAAAGCAATAAACCTAAAAGGTGCAAAACTATATCAAAATACTTTTAGGGAAAAGAGATGTGCAATGTGTTGTAGCACTGCCAGGAAAATGAATGTGTGATGAACTGAGCTGCTTTTTTTGAGGAAAAGACATCTGGCTCTTTTTTTTTTTTTTTTTTCAAAGGACCACTTTTACTTGACAAATTAAGCCACTCACTCATCAGCATAGCATGAAGTCAAGAGCCAGAGGTCCAACAAAGATTTTAAATTTCTCAATTTCAACAAGATTCGCTCAAAGGACATGGAGTGGCTTCGAGCGGAAAGCACTTGGAAGAGAAAGAGAAAACACATGACGTGTGAAAGTGAGCAGGCTCTGAGATGGCACCGTATGAAAGCTCTCCGCAGTAAGAATAACAGCCAAAGCCAAAGCCCGGCTGAGGTGAAAACACAGACAGAGATTCGCTCAAAGCAGAAGTGCTCAAGTCCAATGCCCCTGCAGCTGTACAATTCAAACCTTCAGGCAAAATCTGTCTCGAAATGCAACCAACATGTTAAAATTTGGGGCTCATTCGCACGAGATAGGACCGCCCCCTCAAAACAGAATTATTTCAACAAGGATCTAAAGCAGGGGTGGGCAAACTTTTTGGCTCGGGGGCCACATTGATTTCTAAATTTGACAGGTGGGCCGGGTCAGCACAAGATACGGTACATATAAAAAACTCTATATGTTGACAGTCCATACCAAACATCAACAGAACAAAAGCATTAAGGTATTACCATACTTTTTTTTTTTAATGAGAACATTGAAACAACTGTGGCATATGTCCTGTATGAACATCCAAGTATGTTAACAACATACATGTGTGACAACACAAGCGACAAAGTGCAACAATATATTGCCCAAAAACTGCAGAATACAGTACAGGTATATGACAAAATAGAACAAAGTTAGGACTATTTGCTACAAAATGAGACAAGTAAAAGACCTGGTGGCTTTCTTTCCACTCACTCACTGTCTCGAACTTGACCTCCCCTCGATCACCACACAAGACAGCGTTGCTCAGCTGATGTTGTGCAACGAACTTTTGAACCCAGCCACGGGACGCTTCGAAGTCTTCGATGCCCACAGCGCTATGGAACTCGATTGCTCTCTTATTCGTGGTCCAGTTTTTAGCACGATAACAGTCAAACCATTCCAGGAAACGTTTATTTACTCGATTGTCCGTCGAGCCGCAAGCAATACACTCTGACCATGGTAACAGCCAGAATCGGACTGAGCAAGAATCGATTCCTCGTTTTTCAAAGTCTCGTAGATTTAAGTCTTTCAGACTCCAAGAGTCTCCTGAATGTTTCGTACCTTGTAACCCGCTTCGTTTAATCAGATACACTTCACTTTCTCTTCCGCAGTCATCAGTGTTCCTCTTCGTTTGGATGCCATGATCTACAGGACGTAAAAATGTTCGCAATTCCAGTAAAACTCACTGCAATAAAGAGTCGCTTGCATGTCGCTGTTTTGGATCCAATGACAGAAAATAGCGGCGCAGACACACTTATTCCGTCGTATCGAGCGGGAGTTACTTGAGGTTAGCGCTACTGCGGGCTTCCGTATCGTCTCCCCCTCCCTCCCTGTGCTCTGCAACTTCAAGTAACTGCGCCACCTGGCATTGAAATGACTGTCATTACAAGTCCAAATGAAATGAATGCAATCATTTACATCGAACCTTAATTGTGTACTGTACCAACCTTCGGCGGGCCGGATTAAAAAGACCAACGGCCCGCGGGCCGTGGTTTGCTCACCTCTGATCTAAAGCGTTAGCTGACCGAGTCAGTCTTAGTCTACTTATTTCCAAAAATGTGCCAATGAGCAAGACTGATTTTTTTTGCCAAATTATAATGTCACAGTTGGACTCATTTCTCCGCCTTTGACTTGGCAACCAGGCGGGTCGAAGGTTTGCCACTTTCAAGCAACTGCATCGTCTGAAACACTGTGATGTCAAGGCTAAATAAGCATAAGCAGAGCTGCCATTTCTTTTGTTGGATACATAGATTAGTCTCAGCTCGCAGCACCACTCTGCGACACTAGTGTGATGAAGTGCTGCATCCATGAAAGAAAATGTAATCCATACTTCTACAATCTGCACTCCTTTTTTTTTGTATTTAAACTGCCGCTACAAGTAGAACCCGCTCATTTTGTGACAACCCCCTAGCTCCGCACATTATGGCAATGAAAGTCGAACTTGGCATTTGCCCGAGACAGGAGTGCCTCCTCAAAAATATGCAGCTCGAAGCAAGACCAGCAAATGAGCTGTAATTTTTGATGTTTTGGACAGTTTAACAAGAAAACATGCCAGAGCCTTGTTATTAAGACACACAGGAATTGTTAGAATGTGTGAAAAAAAAAATATGACCTGTATTTTCACACTTTACCTGGACAGATCAAGTCCCATTGCTTCCTCTGGGAAATTTTCGTAGGGTGATTTATTTTCTTGCTATATGATACAATGACATAAAAACTACATTTACTATGGTGTTAAAAGCATCAGTCCTGGTGCTTAACGGTTTTAAAGGCCGACCAAGATGTGGACTACTTTATTTCCTCTGCATCTTTTGGGAAAAGAGAGCTCAAATTGAATCGGCTAACATTAATATGAAGCTTTATCACTTAAAATGATTTGTTTGTGTTGTTGTCACAGGAACAAAGGTTCTTTCCCTGGCCAGATATGAACTATTTGCTGGACCTCACACTTCAGCTGGAATCCAAACATCCAGGGGGCATAACCGAGTGGTATGAAACGCGCTTAAACGCCAACTCTGCCTCCACACGCATTGTTGTTTTTTCGTGTCTGCAACAGATTGACTTTTCCGGCAAAACTGTTTTGACTCAAGCGGCTCCAAAAACAACAAGTGTGCAATTGGGCTCTAATGGCCCTCGACCTTTTCTTCTGCTTATGCTGATTATCTGCTTCTGCGGATCAAGTGGATGAAACAAATGGCAACAATAAAAAGTCGAAAGACAGAAAGCACAACCAGAGAGTATTTCTCCTTCATCTACCTCTGCTATTTACCCGATGGACACTTGAGTGTACAGTAACTAGCAAATGTATTCATAACCGTGCAAAGTTTCCATATTTCTCCTAAGCCTTTGGGGCTACACAGCTACTCGATT